CTCACCGTCCCCCCCAAAAACCAAAAGGGCCCCGGGTTTTTGGGGGAAAGGGGGGCCCCTTTGTCCTCATCAATAGGGGAATAAGGCTGTCCCCAGGGTGTAAAAAGCCCCCTTTCCCAAAATTCATCCCAAGGCTGGGGGTTTGGGGGGGACCCCCCCGGGTTGGGTTTTTTTTTTTTTTTTTTTTTTTTTAATGCGGCTTTTTTTTCTTACATTCGGGTTTTTCAATGGTTAATCCCCACTGACAGAAAGGATGCCCAAACGTTTTTAAAGGCCATGGGTGTAAACTTCTAAAAAAACCCAATGATTTTCCCCGCTTTTGGGACAGCAGGGTGAGAAATGGTTTTTGGGGAAATGCCAGAAGGTGCCAACCCCCAAAAAAACCCAAACCCAGAAATTGCGGGAAAAAAAGAAAAAGTCATTTTAAATTTTTTTTGCCAATTCCTTGAAAAAGGGGAAACAAAACCCTGAAAGTTTTTCCCTGAAATTCTGTTAGGGGCAAATAAAAAAATAAACGGACAGGACTCAATTTTTTTTCTGTCAAAAGGGTGAAATTATAACAGCAAACAATCCCCCCTCTAACTACGAAGAGACGGGGGGTTTTTGGGCTTGGTATATGCACTTGGAGCAAATGTCAACTGGAACCCTCCCCTGCCTGCTTTGTTAAAGGGAACAGCTCACATAAATATGGGAACAAAATAAAAAAATATTGTGCCACCATATCTCTCTGCAGCAGCGGGCGGGAACCCGCCAAAAACCCAACTGAAGTCCATTGACCGCCAATTATAGCAAACATTTTAGACTCTCCCAAACCCCTTTTGTTTTTGGTTTTCCCATGGCATTTAGCCTTTCGGGTTTCTTCACTATTCAATAATGTTAGTTTAAAGGAAATCCCGGGTTCCAAGATACCCCTGATTTAAAGGTCAGGAAGAGGGGCCCCTCTCTCTAGAGGCAGGAAGGTGATGCATAAACATAAGGGGGAAAATACAACAACATGTTCTGCACTCAATAATATACTCCTCTCCTTACTTCTCTTTAGGTAAGCCCTGGCACCTGGCTAATGCAGAAGTACTTCATAGTAAGTACTCATAGTAGCCTCAATAGAATCTTTATGTTCCCCACATGGACGGGAACAAAAAAATATAAACGATGCCCCTCAGAGTAGATCCATCATCAATCACGATGCCCACCAAACCACTGCTAACCCAAAAAAAGAATAAAAAGCTCGCTCCCATCAATGCCTCCGCTATCTGACAGCTCCGCAGCCTGACAGTTCTTAAATAACTAAGGGGAGGGGGCCATTCAGGTGATGTCAATGAGTGACCATGCACCCTTGTGACATCATTTGGCTGTGGCGGCGGGCATTGTGAGACTGATGATGGATCTACACCGGGGGACTTTTTTTTATTTTGTTTTTTTAATAAAGGACATGTCAAAAACTTGCCTCCTGTGGTTTTTTTTTTACACTACAGGTTTTCTTTGAATAAGTAGGGGTACCTTGAACACCATACTCATTTCACTTGGGGGAGCTGTGATCTGGGGGGTTATTAATGCGGGGCTTCCAGATTATGATAAGCTCACCACCCACACACCCACCACAACCATCAGCCAGGGATGTTGGGAAGAGGTCCTTGTCCCCATCAAAAGCACCCCCCCCCCCCCCCCCCCCATGTTGAGGGCATGTGGCCGTGGTATGGTTCTATGACCCAGGGTAAGGGTCTAGGTATGGATTTTGGGGGACCCCACGCCATTTTTTAAAAAATTTTTGGTGTGGGGGGTTCCTTTCAAAATCCATACCAGGACTCAAGGGCTTGGCTCTTGCTCTTCTCCCCCTTTCCTGACCTGCCTTTGGGGGGACCCCATTGCCCTTTGTTTCCTTAATTTTTAATTGCCCGGAGTTCATTTTTGTACATTCAGTTGTCAAAAGCAGGGAATCCAACTGATAGCTAATGACTCATCGAGTTGTTTAAGGACACAGGAGGCTGCCTGCTCTTAGCAAAACCCTAACAGTTACTGGTTAGTTAGGTTGAAGACGGTGGCTGCCTGCTTCTTAACAACCAGTACATACCGCCCATGCCTCTGCCACTAAATGTAATATTATTTTTAATATCTAAATTTTAATTTGGTCTCTAGTAAGGTCCTGGCTAGGATAATATAATGTCCCACCTCTATTTGGATGTGAATGGAAGGTTTTGAACTGAATAGTAACAGATGTGGAATTATTTGTGTCTGGAGGTGGATAGGATTACGGAAGGCCAATGTCTAGTTTATATTGTTTTAGAGTCGGCCTATGTAATGTTATACTTTGTTATGATTTCATTAAATGAGTCTGAGAGTTTAAATTGTTATCCATAAAACACAGTTGTTCAGATAGCTGAATTCTACTGAAAAGGATTTTATTTCCACAATCCCTACAGACACAGGAATACTAAGAGTTTTTTCACAACTTTTAAAATTCCAACACTACCTAATTATTGCAGGCATTTAATTATTTCCTTCTGTGAATTGACTTTAAGGTCTTTCTATGTGGTATTTGGTGAGCGTTTTTTGCTATTTGTGGTAAATAACGCATACTAGCAATAGTGAATTGACATGGTAATCATATGGTCACCTGACCAAACTTAATGCATGCAATAACCTTTAATTTGAATTGTGCCCCATGTTTTTGTCCAATATTTTAACACAGGGTTCACATATCTTTTCTATCCATCAATCCACCTGTCATATTAATGCATTTCAAATGATCATACATCTTTTCAGGAGCGCATGGTGAATGAAATCCATGTAGGCTGGACCCAATCTTTTAAAAGCAAAGGTGTTTTGCATGCTGGAACAAATTTGATGCAAAACCATCATTTCCTAAAAAGAACATTTGCCAAAAAAAAATGGAAAAGGGCCAAAGGACACTCAGTCATCACCCAAGGGACACTATAAACAGACTGCCCAGCCCAAGATATCAATCCAATCTCTAAGATAACTCACAAATCTCGAGAGGTCCAGGAAAAATCCAATATACAAAGTACATGGGCTCAGGATATAGTCGCATAGAAAGTCATATAGAATAGTTTGGCATATACACTATACTGCCAAAAGAATTGAAACACCCTCCAAATCATTGGATTCAGGTTGTTCCGATCACCTCTATTGCCACAGGTGTATAAAATGAAGTACCTAGTCATGCAGACTGCATCTACAAACAATTGTGAAATAATGGGTCGCCCTTAGGAGCTCGGTGAATTCAAGCGTGGTACTGTGATAGGTTGCCACTTGTGCAATAAGTCCATCCGTGAAATTTCCTTGCTACTAATAATTCCATGGTCAACTGTTAGTGGTAACTTCCTGTGGAGGCACATTCAGGAGGAGGAGGATCAGACAATGCCAACAGGGGCCCCAGAAGAGCAAGTAAGAGACGGATCTGTGCAATATTCTTACACAAAAATAGGCAAGCATAACATAATTTTTTATATTGTGGAAAAAAAAACCTGGGCCTTTAAAAAAAAATCACTTTACAGTCACTAACAAGTGGCGTCATGACATTATCAACATCAGATGCGGTGGGAGGGGCTCACATATAAATGAGCTGTTTGGCTCCAGAGTTTTGTTAGCTGATGGGGAGGTGGTGTCTGTGGTGCTGGTGCAATTGTGAAAGAATGGGTCGCTCTTAGGAGCTCAGTGAATTCAAGCATGGTACCGTGATAGGTTGTCACTTGTGCAATAAGTCCATCCGTGAAATTTCTTTGCTACTAAATAATCCACGGTTAGCTGTTAGTGGTATTGTAACAAAGTTGAAGCAACTGGGAACAACAGCAACTGAAGTGCGCAGAAGTTGCCAACTCTTTTCAGAGTCAATAGCTAAAGACCTCCAAACTTCATGTGGCCTTCAGATTAGCACAACAACAGTGCATAGAGAGCTTCATGGAATGGGTTTCCATGGCTGAGCAGCTGTATCCAAGTCTTACATCACCAAGTGCAATGTCACCATTAACATATATAGATTGGTAATTTTTTTCACCACTAGGCTGCTTTGGGCCTTTCTAGTATGGCTACTGTAGATCTAGTTAGCACTTGTTGGGCTTCCAGTGGCTCATATGTTTGAATGACAACCATCTATTTGCATAATTATTGCTGGAGGATCAATGCTGATCCTCTCTCCATTGGCTCTCTATATAAGAGAATGGTGACAGGGTTCACCCTGATGCAGGTGGCTAATGTTGTGATTTATTTTTTTGGTATCTTACTATTATCAGATTTACCTGATGGACAAAAACAAATGATGTTACCTCCCTAAGTCATCTTATGATTGGTCCCTTGGATTTCCATTTAGGTAAAACTGGGGTTGTGGGCATGCCTGAGTAATTCTACTGAGACCCCTCCCCCCCCCCGACTCTAGGACTCATGTTCCCCCTATGGGAAAGGTTTGGGGTGGTAAGTGGTTGGGTTGTTTTTGCTTTGTGTAAAAAATATTTTGGTTACATTGTTATGGTATTTTTTGTTATCATTTGCCAACCATATCTATATATTTTTTCAAGCAAGTGGATCCTGGAAAAGCAAGCTGAATGCAAACAGTTTTTTTATATGACTTCTGTAACACAGTAGATATGGCAACCTCTTTTGTTGATTTTAATACAATAAATGTGAGAATAAAGTTGTATATTTTTATGTATACATTTTTGTTGTGGCACATTGAAAGTCCCTTCTTGTCCAGCCCCCAGTTTGGAGGCTGGAATATTATACTATTCAGATTTTGTACTGTCAAGAACTTCAAGCTGGTTCAAAGAGAGTGGGAGTCCAGCTGAGGGACCAGAAAATAAACGGCAACTGTTCATTTCTGAGAAATATGAGATTCTGTTCTTAACCACTAGCCTACAGGGCACTTATACCCCCTTCCTGCCCAGGCCAATTTCCAGCTTTCATTGCTGTCACACTTTGAATGACAATTGCGCGGTCATGCAACACTGTACCCATATGAAATTTTTATCATTTTTTTTTTAGACAGAGATTTCTTTTGGTGGTATTTAATCACCTTTTTTTTAAAACAAACCAAAAACCACAGAAATTTTGAAAAAAAAAACAAAACATTTTTTCTTAGTTTTTGTTATACAGTTTTGTAAATAAGTGATTTTTCTCCTTCACTGATGTGCACTAATGAGGCTGCAGTGATGGGCACTGATAGGCTACACTGATAGGTGGCACTGATGGGCATTGACAGGCATCACTGATGGGCACTGAAAGGCAGCACTGATACATGACACTGATATATGGCTCTGTTAGGCGGCACTGACTGGCAGCACTGATCGGTGGCACTGATTGGCATTGATAGGTGGCACTGACTTGCACTGATGGGTGACATTGAAAGGCAGCTCAGATGGGCACTGATATGTGGCATTGATGTCCACTGGTATGCACTGATATGTGACATTGATGTGGGACTGATGGGCACTGGCACGTGGCATTGATGAGCACTGACAGCTGGCACTGATGGACACTGAGAGGTGGCACTTCTGGGGCCACACTGATCATCAGGGCTGAAGGGAAATGTATGTTCCTAGCCCTCCATTTTGTTTTTTTATATACTCCATTTTATTTCTCTATTTTATATTTTGTCTAGATAATTAAATGTATAGTTGTGTGTGCGTGTGTCAGTTATGTGCTATAGAACTGAACCCACTTATTTTTTTGATTTAGTTTTGCTCAAGGCATGAAAAGTATGGGCTCGTTCTGGGATCGGAGGGTCATTCTATCCAGTGAGAATTGATTTATATTTTCTAATATTTACCGTGACTAGGCTCTGGCCAAGTTCCGATGCCCACATACTTTGGAAGTATGCTTTAATGAAAGGGTGAAAGGGTATAGTGTAAAAGATTGCCGGCCGGCATAAGTTTATATGTACTTTGGGAAAGTACTTGAAAGACATTGAGGCCCTGATTCACTATTGGGCGTGGGCGCATATTCATGGGCTTAAGCCCAATTTTCATGGGCGTCCGTCTATTTTTTTACCTAATTCACTATTGACCAGCGCCCATAAGCAGATGCCCAATCTAATTCACAAAAAAGACACACGCCCGGAATCACACTCACAAAGCAGACTTGCTAAGAAGCACGTCTAACACCATGAAAAATCACTGCAGAGACATGTTCACTTAGAAATTTGCTTTGCCAAATATCAGGACTTCACTTTAAACAATATCTGCTATTTCCAAAAAAAATTAAGAATGTGTTAAAAATCGTTTTTTTTTTCAAGGAAATCGACACAGTAAAAATCTAGACGCCCGTGCAGTGTCTTTGGCAGATAGAACTGAGCATGTGCAGAACACATTTTAGACTTCTGCCATGGGCGTTTGTTTTTTAGCCACTGACTAATAGTGAATCTTACTGTGGATTCCTCTGACAGCCGGCACTCGGTCGTGACTACTGTGTTTAATAAACAGCACTAAGCATATCTTCATGTAATCTAATTAGATTTCCTTAGTTCTAGTGATTCTATTTTTGTTTCTTATCCTTTATAATTATTTCTGTAATGATTTTACTTATTTCAAAGGTCTAGATAATATTTATTTTGACAGCTGAATGTAATAATAAAGGTCCGCAATAAAAAAAAAAAAAAAAAACAGCGTGGGTCCCCCCTCTCATCCTTACCAAGCCCTTCAGGTCTGGTATGGATATTAAGGGGAACTCCACGCTGAAATTTAAAAAAAAAAAAAAACAGCGCGGGTCCCCCTCAATATCCATACCAGACCCTTATCCGAGCATGCAGCCCGGCAGGTCAGGAAAGGGGGCGGGGACGAGCGAGCGCCCCCCCCCCCTCCTCCTGAACCATACCAGGCCACATGCCCTCAACATGGGGGGGTGCTTTATACTTTTTAATGTCAAATATAATAGCGCAGCTCTCTGCAGGGACAGAAGTAATTACTTTGCTATTATATTTGCCGGCCGTAGATGGGGCGAAAATCGAACAATTTTTTTACCATTGGTGGTAACGTGGGCCCATTGAACAACCGATTTTTTTTTTTTTTTTTTTAAACGGTCAGTTTTCGCCCCATCTATGGCCTGCATTTTTCTTTTTCTTCTTTTTCTTATTCTTTTTTTTTATTCTTCTTTTTCATTTTCGTCTTCTTTTTCTTGCAGGTCATGGCTCATGTGTAGATTTTTTATCTGTTAAAAGATCAGCCAATTTGCCGATCATTGCAGCTAAAATCGGCCAATCTGCAAAATCGGCCAATTTTTATCCAAATTTACCAATTAAAAAAAGTTGCAAAATCCCCAAAAATGGCTGACCAATTAACCCACTAACGG